AAATAAAAGGCCATGGAGAACCGTGCAAGAGACTAATGTCTAACCATGTTTGTAGCCATTAAGTTAATACAATCAGGGGGTGGGTTATCAAAAATACAAATATCAAAATGATGATAAGGCATCTTATGAGCAACAATATTAGCGAATTGGTTAGCTTCCCTATACATATAATTAAAAGTAACCACCCAATCTTTCATAATAAGATCCCTGATATTTTTGATGATTGTGGAGAAAGGATGGTTATCGTAGCAGGTATTATTAATAAGCAATAAAGCCTCCATGGGATCAGAGTAGACATTGATTTTTAAGAGGTTCTCATTCCAGTATAGATTAAGGCCTTCTAAATTTCCCAAAAGCTTAGCTACTGTGCTAGGATAGTTGAAGTTTTAACTAATATTTTGGTTAGGGTCGATAATTTAGGTGGTCAGGTTTATTTGAATTGGGCTTAAAGTATACTACCCCTTTTTTTAAAAAGCCCATATAGCAAAGCTCGATTGTAAAACCTTTGGGCTCATGGTATTGAAAACCGGACCGGACCGGCCGGGTCAACCTGAAAATCGGTGAACCAGTCCCCTGTCCGGTCTGGGTTTGCTCTTAACCCGGTGAGGGAGTAAACCGGTGTAACCCGGTCAACCCGGGTTCAACCCGGTATAACCCGGATAACCCGGTGGGTTGACTGGGTTAACCGAGTTAATATTTTTTCAGACTTTTACCCCAAAACGATGTCGTTTTTTATTTTTTTTCATTTTTAATTTTTCAGAGCTCTGAGTTCGGAAAAAAGATAACAAAAAAAAGTGAAATTGAAGTCAAAAAATGAAAAATTAGAGATAGAGCATGCTAAGTCCAAAAATATAGTATTTTATTATTGTTAGACTTTTGAGTGGTTGGATTTGGTTGAATATTTTTATAATTAATGTCTTTTTATTTAAATTGTATTATTTTAATCATGACCGGTTTGCCACCGGTTCAACCCCCGATTCAACCCCGATTGAACCACTAACCCGTGACCCAGTGCCATGACCGATTTAATGACCGGTCCGGTTTTACGTACCTTATTTGGGCTTATTCAAAGCTAGCTCGAATATTCACAACTTTTTAAAAATATTTTTTCCTTTATTTTTTGAACCAATGTTATTTTTTAAATAATTTTGTTAAGCATAAAGTATTATTTTAACTTTAAAAGAATAAAATAAAAAACAATAACTTATCAAATTTGTACTTAAATAACTTTGTTATTATATTATTGTATTATGTATAATTTATTCACTAATGTTTCTTTTACTTATAAATTAATGTCTTAGTTGTTTAAATATTGCTCTTATCATGATCATACATAAATATTTTATATATTTTAATTAAATTATATTATTTTAATTATGATCAAGTTGATCTCAATTCAATTATGATTAGACCATTAATTTACAATCATTGCCTTGATTATGTTGGACATAATGTATTTTGATATTATGTTTAGTTTAATTTTTAATGATGATAAATATAGATTAATTAAATATATGCATGCATGACATAATAACGTTTATATTGATTCCCATGCATATTAATGCTTGGACTAACCACTTTGTTCTTGATATATTATTGAAGGTTATCCAATGTGAGTGAGAATGAAAAGGAAGCCATTTTTATCATTAGCGTGCTTCACTCAAGAATGAAAAATATAAAGATGAAGAGAAAGATGATCCAAAAAAAGCTGAAATGAATGAAGACATACAAGTTTGGATTCATTATAGCCTTGATCTTGATGGGTATAATATATTTAGGCTTTTTAATCTTTATGTAAGACTTATTGTTTTTATATGTATTTATTTTAAATCTTAACCTGCAATTTTGTTTTAAAATAAATGGTGAGATATAACCTTAATTTTGTTTTTAATGAGTTATATCTCACAAGATTTGAAAATATTTTTTCTTAAATATTATTTAAAAACTAACTCCATAAAGTTTATTAAAAGTTGTATTTACTCAAAAGTAGAGTTTTGTGTTTAACACTTGAAGTTTATGCTTTGAGCGAAGAGTTTTATATATATATAGTTTTGGCCTTTATCCAGTATTTTCTATGTATCTCTTAATATATAAATCCATTTAATGTGAAACTTCTTTCATTTAAAAATAGACTTTCAAATCTTCTCAAATAATCCTTTTAAACACAATTTTAGTTAGGATTAAAATCTTAAAGCTTTTTTGATCATCCCTTATTTCCAAATAGCCAACAAACACATTAGCTTTTCTTTAATTTATTCATATTCTGTTTCTCTTTAAAGATTAAGTATTTGACTTGATCTTAATTCCTTAAAGACTTCTTGTATTACTTGGAAGGTGTCTCAAGTAGACTTAGGATAAAAAATTCAAATTTGAGAGCCTTTTTCATTTTTCTATATAATGGTCCTTATTCCGGAAGAGCTTCCTCATTTCGGAATAGCTTATTCCTATGTGTATTCCTTATTCCCGAGTAATCAACTCTCATGCCTATTCAGAATTAGCTTATTTAGAAATAGCTATCCTTATTTAGGAATAGTAGCTATCTTCTTCTAAAGAGCTTCTCACTATGTCATTTCAAAATTTCTTATTTAGGAATAGCTTATTTAGGAATACCTTATTTGGGAATAGCTTCCCTTATTCCCAAAAAAGATTTTTAGACCATCGTATTCATAACTTTCTTCTGATTTAAGAGTTATATTTCGAAAGAACCAATCCTATGCTTCTCATTGTTCTATTCTTTACCATTTCAGAATAAGCTTGTTTATTCAGGAATAAGCATGAAGAAACTTGCTCTATTTCTCACCTCTGTAATAGGGGAATTTTGATTCTCTCTCTAATCTCTTTCTTCTCACTTTCTAAGAGTCGTGTTAGTTATTTAATCTTCCTAGAATCATTTTAAACATAACTTTGGGTTAGATTAAACATGTATTGATTATTTCAAATATCCTTACTCTCAGATAGCTTTAGTTCTTCTAATATAATACTCAACGGTAATATTGTCAGAGGATTAAATGCATGAATGTCATTATGTTTGGTTTTTGCTCTAACATGCAAACCTATATGAAAAGCTACCATTTCCTACTATCCTTTTTGGGTAATAATACCATTGCAAAGCAACAAACCTATACTTATATCTATAATGCCAAGGATCAAAGAGTAACAGAAATTTGATTATGTCTAATGGATACTTTATAAGACATAGGAGAAACTCTGTCAAAGGCAATAAACAAACTTATACTTTATGAAAAAGATTAGAAGAGAGATGGAGACTACTCCAACAGCTATATTAATGAGTCTAACGAATCACTTATCAACTCCAATTATAAAAGGACTCATTTATGAAGATTGAAGTAAAGAAGTAATGCTGCACAAGTTGTGATATTCAATACTCTCAACTATCTTTGTTTTTATCTTCAATATTCTTGTACTTTAATGTATTCATCTATTCAATGAGTGAGTTTGTATTAGGATCACTTTGTGATCAAATTCTCTCTATTAGTTATCTTAGCAAACTTAAGATTAGGGGATTTTAAGTGGGCGCTAAAATTACCTCTAGAAGGGGGAGAGAAATAAACTTGTACGTTTGAGAGATTGTAAGTAGCCTCACAAGTGCCTGGATCAAACTTGTGAGATTTTTGTAAATGAGAGTGATATAGACGTTAAGCCTGAGATTGTACTGTGGCTTCATAAGTGCTCGGATTGAACTCGTGGTTATAGTGAAAATCTCTAGAGGTTTCAAGGGACTGAATGTAGGCTAAGTGGATTGGGCTGAACTAAGATAAATTTCCTGTGTATTGCTCTTTGTCTCTCTCATCTTTATTGGCTTTATTTATCTATTAACATTCATATCTCAAGTTTATGTGATCAAGAGCTTTTGGTAAAAAATCAAAAGATACCCAAGTCACCCCCCTCTTGGGTGATCAGCATATTTTACAGATTAGTTCAAAATTTTTAATAACTTTTGGATAAATTATACTTTTTGTTTTTAAAAATATGAGAAAAATAGCCATAAATATATTATATAAAATAAAACCATTTAATTATGAGTTAAATACTATTTGTTTTTGGAATTGTTTTTTTACTTTTATAATTATTTAACCCTACATACAAAAGTGTATTTATTATAATCTATTCTTAATTTTTAACCAAGTTTGATGTGGACGGTAACCAAATAATTACTCTTTTTGTTTAAAAATGTGAGGCATTTTTAACCGAATTTTACTCCCAATAAAGTAGTTATCTATATTCAAACTAACCCTATTGTTTCATATTTACCACTATCAAATACCCTATAATAAATATAAAGTCATTAATTAATAAAGGCACATTTAAAAAAAAAGTTAATAATTATACTTTAAAAGACTAAAAATGTCTTATATTTTTTAACATTTAACTCCTCAAAAAATGCCTTATATTTTTGAATGAAAGATGTATCTAAAAAAATTATTCTATTTATTATATTTATCTAGTAGTAGAGTCAGAAATTTGTACATGCTAGAATTTTATATTTAAAATTATTTTTAATTTTATTTTTACTTTAAAATTAATTTTCTTATCTTATAAAAATATAAAATATATTTTTTTGGATAGCAAATTATGTATAGGACTCAAAGCTTTTTTTTTAAAAAAAATTGAATCTTAAAATATAAAAATTAATATTAAAATATATTTTAAGATATTTTATTGATTAAAAATAATAAAAATATGAATATATATATATATATATTTTTTAATTTTCTAAAAAAATTATAGTATATGATATTTTAGTATAATATAACATAAAATTTAAAAAATTAATTAATATTTATTAAATTTTACATATTTTTTTTAAATTATTTTTTATTTGAATATTCGTATCAAGCTCAATTCTTAAATTTTTTTTTAGCCTGAATCCAAATAAATCTGAATATTAAAAAATTATTATTTTTTGGGTTTGATTTTAAATGTTTTAGACGGGTTTGGCTTAACCTACCGCAGGTTGAACGACAGCGTTGTTCTTTCTTCCTTCCTTCACTCCACTCGTCAGTCGTTATTGGCTTATTGTAGACGCAGCCGCAAAACGCCGCCTGGCTTCCCGCGTGCCCTCAGGCGAAACGAGCTTTCGCCTCTGCCCTCCGCCATCATTTCTCCGCCGTTGAAGTTCCGTCGTCGATTGGGAGTTCTTCATCGTTCCGCCGTGCTGCTTGTTTGCGTGATCCTCGTTTTCTTCTTATTCGCGTGGCTGAGCCCCTTTTCTTTCCCTTCTGACATCGACATCTGCGTGGTGATGGTGGAAGGCAGTGCAGGCAACGGCAGCAAATACTAACTAACAAGCTTTCCTGAACATGCGTATTGCAGGTATAAATGAAGCAAAACAGACGGAGGGTGAGCGGAGAGCAATCGAGAAAAAGATAGTGAACGGGAGAGAACGGTTGAGAGTGAGATGAAGAGCAATCGAAGCTTAAGAGGTTGAGAAGAGGTTGGAAAATAACGAAATCAAGGGGGACTTGAGATCCACAGAGAGAGCTTGAAAGAGGGAAGACCAATTGAGGTGAAGAAGAATCCATTTATTTGCCTTCACACAGGTACGATTATGTCCTTTTCGCCTTCATTGGATCCTGTTCATGCAATTAGTTGGTTTTATTGTGACAATCCCTGTTCTGTGAGTGATTGATTTTGGTGAGTTCTTTTCTAAGTGGTTCGGTTGAGCACATTAGAAATACTAATATCACTCGTGTTAACCAGGCTTTCTCAGTCATGGATGAATCAAGTCCAAGCATTCAGTAACCATAAACCGAATAAGATTAATTAATCACTATATATATATATATATCTATATATTTGCCCCACAATATATTCTTATTTTAAATTTTTAATAGAACATTAACATTAATTAAATAATATTGTGAATATGGTTTAATTATAAGAAAACTTACACCAAAAAGAAAAACAGTGCATTTAGTTGCATTACGTGTTATTTAGGACCGCTGTTTGATTAAGTTTCACTTCAAGTTTATTCATGCATATTGATCAGACTTTCACTTGGGTGGAGGATAGGATGGGAGAGGCTAGTGGAGATGATGTTTTAGCATCGGTTCACTCCACTGTATTCAAACAATCAGAAAGCCTGGAAGGAAAATCCATCAAGATTGAGGGCTACGACTTCAATCAAGGTGTGAATTATCCACAGCTTCTCAAGTCCTTTGTCACCACTGGGTTTCAGGCTTCCAACCTTGGAGATGCTATACAAGTCATTAATCAAATGGTTTGTTTTCGTTCTGAAATCCCACCTTGCCTTTTTCGATTCTGGCCCCTTTATTCATTTTGCTATAGTCCTTTCTGTAGTTGAGTAATTCTCACAAATTTTTCATCTTTTTCTCCCTGGTAAATTAATTGGAGTGAAGCTAGATTGGAGTCTGGCTGATGAGGCCATAACAGAGGATTGCAATGAGGAGGAAAATGATTTGGCTTACCGGAAATCTGTTAGATGTAAAGTTTTCCTTGGCTTTACTTCTAATCTCATCTCGTCTGGTGTTAGAGATACAGTTCGATACCTTGCTCAGCATCATATGGTGAGTTTCTTTTGTGTGCCTGCATGTAGAAGAGAACTTGGTTCCCCAAGTTTGGATTTTGTATTGCAAAAGATTAATGTCTAGCAAGATTACAGAAGATTAATATCTTGTAGGTTTAAGTACTTAACTCCCACTGCGTTCTATCTAAAAAAAACTTGTATAATGCCTTATTAAGGATAAATGAAGAATTTTTGAACATGGACTTGTGAGCTACTATGAATTCATACTAACAAGAAGAAAGATAGGCAAAACAGGTGTTTTTTTTTTTGGCACAAAAGTAAACCACCGATTCATATTTCACATTACATCTATTATTGCAGGTTGATGTAATTGTTACAACAACAGGTGGCATAGAGGAAGATCTCATAAAGTGTCTTGCACCAACTTATAAAGGAGATTTTTCTCTACCAGGAGCCTACCTTCGCTCTAAAGGATTAAATCGTATTGGTAACTTGTTGGTCCCTAACGACAACTACTGCAAATTTGAGGATTGGATTATTCCAATTTTTGATCGAATGTTGAGGGAACAAAATGAGGAGGTATTCTTTTCATGCCTTTGTTTCAATGCATTATGAAATTTAAATAGTACAGTTTTTTCCTGCATCTAAAGCTACATTCTTCCTAACACGTTTGCGTATCTGTAGAAATGTTTCTACTGTGTCACTCTGCTTTCTTTTGTCATTTACTCAATTTTTGTTTATATTATTGTTAGGACTAAGGCATGTGTAGCTTGTGCTATTGAAATCAGCTGAAAGGTTGATTTGTTCACTAGATGGTGAACTTTTTTGGAAGTTTCCCCCTTCTTTTGCTTGTCTTGAGTGAGTGTACATTTCCTTTTCTTGTCTTCGTTACCTAGTCCTTTTGTGTTTTCAGCGTGTAACATGGACACCTTCAAAGCTGATTGCTCGGTTGGGAAAAGAAATAAACAATGAGAGCTCTTATCTTTACTGGGCATACGTGGTAAGTTTGAGATCTTGCTTAGATCTTCTGTAGTTAATCTGTTAATGGTATTCTCTCAGTCTGATGGATCTTTGTAGTTCTAACAAGAGAAAGGGAGAGAAAGAGTGGGAAAGAGAGAAAGATAGAGAAGAGAGGCAGAGAGAGATACGAGAGAGATGAGAGAGAGAGAGAGAGGAGAAACACGGAATCACATCTCCATTGTCCAAATGCCTATTAAAATTAGTCCCTAACCCGTCTATTTATAGTCTCTCCTTATTACACCATCTAATCCCTAGCTAACTTTTTATTTATTATAATATCATATCGATACCCCCTGCCAAGAGAGCCTTGTCCTCAAGGGTCGAGTGCAGCAACAAATGGGTACAACTTCTAAGAATTAAATAGAGGAACATAGGCATTAAACTCTGAAAGCTGTTGCTTTAGGGCTCACAATGTTTAACTCTTGAAGTTATTTTGTTGTTGTTTTGTATTGTGTCATCTAATTTGATAATTTGTATCAAATTAGATTTGCACGGAACTTTAAATTGTAACAATGTATTAATGACCTAAGAATTTACTGAGCCATGTAATAAACTTATACCATACTGTTGCCTGTCAATATTCTGTGCTTGGTGTATTTACAGAGTGTAACCTAGTTACTTTGCTATTTTCCTGCTTCATTTTCTAGAATATAACACATAATATGTTTTAACTTTTACTGGTTTCCAGAACAATATTCCAGTTTTCTGTCCAGGCTTAACAGATGGCTCATTGGGTGACATGCTGTACTTCCATTCCTTTCGAAGCCCTGGTCTGATTGTGGACATAGTGGAAGGTACGATTTTCATTGTTTCTACTGAATGAGTGATTGCCCATGATATGGTGGTACAATAATATAGTTAACAATTGGACAGATATAAGGGCCATGAATGGTGAAGCTGTACATGCAAGTCCTAGGAAGACAGGCATGATTATCCTAGGAGGGGGGCTTCCCAAGCATCACATTTGCAATGCCAATATGATGCGCAATGGTGCAGATTATGCGGTTTTCATAAATACTGCACAAGAATTTGATGGGAGTGATTCGGGAGCTTGTCCAGATGAGGCTGTTTCATGGGGAAAAATTCGAGGATCTGCTAAGACAGTCAAGGTACATATTCTGTATATCTTTATGATTGGATTGCTTGTTGCCAAAATTCATCAGGCCTGTGTAATTATGTTCTTGAGGATTTTTTTCCTGGCCTGATGTTCTTGAGGGTTTAAAAAAGTGCTTTTATTTCATTAAACAGGTACACTGCGACGCAACTATCGCTTTCCCTCTTCTAGTTGCTGAAACATTTGCTACAAGAGGGAAACCTTGCTGAATTATTCCCAGATCTGAATCTGTCCCTATGCCCTCATACCTCTCAAAACACATCTTGCTTATTGTTAAAAAAAATAGCGCGAGCGCGCACACATCTTGCTGAATCTTACTACGTCCTGCTTGTTAGCTAGGTGGAAAGCAGATCTGATTTTCATCTTTGATATGAGCCTTCACCCCCTTCTCTTCAGTCAGTGTTGCCGTATTGAGAAATTGAAAATGGGGTATTGACCTCTCGCCCACGAGATCAAATAGCTTCTCATTTTCTATGAAAGTCGCCTTTCTGTTCTAAGTGCATTTGCTGGGACATTAACTTTTGTCTTTCATGAGGATTGGCTTATTCTCTTGGAACAGTGATTCGAAGTTGGCTGTGCCTGCGGGGGAAGTTGGGAACCATGCTAGCTGGATCTTGTTGATCTCAAATATTATGAGTAACTTTGTTGTTCCTTTTATCCCTTTGTTTTTTGTTATTTCCAATGGCCTTAGAAGAAACTGTTAAACAGCCTCTAGGGTTTAGTTTGCTAAGTTAATATTACTATGGTTCCTAGAGAGAGGGACAGTACGATCTTGATCGACTTGTTGGCCAGTGGGATTTACTTTGCTCCCAAGAACCACTTGAAAGCAGAGAGAGAAGGCCAAGTAAACTATTTCGGATGCTGCAATAAGAATTGTTGTTGTGTTGTTGTCGAATAAGGTTAAATGGGCTTTTATATATTTTAAAGTTATGTTTTTGTTAAGCTCTTTCCGCATTTATCAGTAGTTTCTGGATAAATGAATGGGGATATGCAACCAAGATATGGAACAAGGGAATGGAATGTGTTAATGGAGAAAAATAAACTAAGGTTGTGGAATGACAGAAAAATGAGAAACATAAAGAGGTGAGAGTTACATAATAATGGATGGGTGAAAATGGATTCATGATCTTATTCATGACAGCCCTCATCCCTATCCCTTCTATTATCATTTGGCTCTTTTCTCTATTATTATCACTTCTCTATTAATTTGTAACTTTTATTTTAGTTCAATTTATTTTATTTTCTAATGATCAAAGGCGCTGTCAATAAAGGAGAACTTTATTCATGTAAAATGCTGTTTTAAGTTAAAATGAATAAGTAAAATATCAAAACACTGACAAGTTATAATTAATTTTTGTCAGACTTTGTGTTGCAATAATTATGTTTAGGATTTCGGAGGGTAAAATTCATGGCTATTTGATAGTATTTCACTTTTGCATTTTAATGATGCTCGATTTTCATTGAAACTTCAATCCGCTAGTGAAAATGTAAATATCCATCTATTTATGTGTGTAAAGTGCATCATGATTAATGTTAATTTACAATTAGGCAAACAGTAACCATGATTTTTAAAAATAATTTGAGACCCATAACCAAAAAAAAGTGTGGGACCCATAATAAAAAAATATGAGAAAATTACATGTTGGTTCCATGGAAGATAATTTATTACTAAGGTGTCTCATAAAATATTCTCAAATTTCAAATATTGTACATTTATAATTTGATTGAGGGTATTTCCAACTTACAACTGAACAATAAGTATTTACAACTTGTAAGGAAAAATGACAATTTATAATAGCAAGTTATAAATGTTAGTTACTTAGTTGTAAATGCCTTTGGCCAAGTTGTAAATGTACATGACTTGAGACTCAAGAGTATTTTATAAATTTCATGTGACCTCTTGGTAATAAATTCTTCACTGTGGGATCTAAATGTAATTTTTTCAAAATATATTTGTGGATATGAGAATCATAATAAAAAATAATATAAGACCTAATATTTTTTGCAAAGGCAGGAGAGCTACTTAAGCTTTGATAAAAAAAAATGTGCTAAGCATGTGGATTTGGGAAACAAACCAAGTCATGCTTTAAACTTAAGGATTTTATACCCCTTAAAAAACTTTTCCAGCTCTTATATATGGATTTGGTGGGTCCTTTAATACTAAACTTTTGGTAGTAATTTATATACTCTTGTTTATTGAAGATTTCTCAAGATATACCTAGACTTTCTTTCTTAGTTTTAAGGATAAAACTTTTTATACATTTAGTACATTTGCCAAGAAGGTCCAAAATAAGAAATCTTTTTCTATTGTGTCTATCAGGTTTGATCATGGTGGAAAGTTTGAGAATGGAGAATTCATGGGTTTCTACAATGAAAATGAAATCAATCACAACTTCTTGGCACCAAGAACACCTCAATGAAATGGCATTGTAGAAAGAAAAAACAAAGTTCTCACTAAAATGGTAAGGGCAATGCTGAATGATAATGGAGTATCATAAGTCTTCTAAGATAATGCTATAAGCACTATCTGCTATATCATGAATAGTGCATATGTTAGACCGAAGTTCAACAAGACTCCTTATGAGCTCTATAAAGGAAGAAAATCAAATATTTCCCAGCATCATGTGTTTGGTAGTAAAAGTATACACCCATAACAACAAGAAGAAAAACCTTAGAAAATTTGATTCTAAGTTAGTGATGGGAAGAAATAAAAAAAGAAATAATTTAATTACAAGGATATTGCAGATTTGAAAATCAAAGATATTTTGCTCTGATATTAATTACGCATATTTTATTTTAATTTGAATTATTGTTATCTTTCAATATTTATTATTATCTTTTCATTTATTGTTATCTTTTTATTTAATTTTAGAATTTCTATAATTTTCATACATTTATTTCTAGGGTTGGGTTATGGTCTATAAATTATAAATACCACATCAACTTATTTAATTTAGATGTATATTTGATTGAATAAGAATTACTATTATCTTACCTCTCCTCTGAGTTTTTTCTTCTCTCTATTATCCCTTTCTTTCTTTTATATATTCCCTCCCCCTCTTCCTTCCTTGTTCTACATCAATTAGCATCAGAGCTAAGGTTCTCATTTTGCTTCTATTACTAAACCCCTTCTTAGTACTAAGAATCATCATATGGAAAGGCTTTGGAAGATAAGTTTATAACTTAAGGCTTCTTAAGTTACTTAGTATGATTCTTCAATCCTAAATTCTAGGTCTCTTGCTATTTGTCTCTTTTTCTAATTTCTTTTTTCCTAATATTCTTGTTTGTTTCCACTTTCCTTCATTTTAAGCCATTTTACCATATTTCCTTCTTTTTGATGTTTTTTTTCATATTTTGTTTCCTTCCTTCCTTCCTTTAATTATTATTCCATTTTTCCTTTCCTTCATTCACTCATTCATTTTTTTCCTTTGATTTAACCCTAAAAAAAAATCCACCTCATAAATAGTTTGGCTCTATACCTGGGTCAAAATCTACCCTAAGCTAGTCAAAGTTTCTATCAATTTCTTTGAGGGGTTTCCAAGCCCTTGGAAGTCACTGTGAAGACTTCACTCAGATTGTTACTTATTTAGCATGTTTGATCCTTAAGGAACTTTTGAGTTCTCAAAGGGTTAGACTTATTGAATATGGTCTTCACCTTTTAGGTGAGGGCAACTGCAAATGCCCCAAGAGAGGAGTGAATTGGGCTAATTGAAAATTTAAATGAAATATAGTAATAATAAATGAGATGAAGAAACAAAATCACCAATCACAAGAGTTGAAGGAATAGAGCTTGACACATATGATCTATCCTGGTATGACTCCTATCACTTGAGTCTATGTCCACTCCTCAGTAACCTCCTGAGATTTCCAACTATATTATCAAGACTAATCTGAGTTCTTAGTTGCCACAATACATAAACAGACTTTTCAATAAGTCTGAAACTTTCCCCCTTACAAAGGTAATAATAAATCCCCTTAAGCTTCTCGAGCTTAAGTTCTTCTATTTTGAAGATGTAAAACAGGGATAAACAGAGTAAGTTCAAGTATGAACTACTACTTCTTTGAAACTCTTTTTTAGTGTAGATACGTAATCAATGAAGCTCTTTATTGATAAATGATATACAGAAGGTAGGTAAACTTTGATATTCAATAAATGCAAAATGTTCTTGCAATTTGCATTTTTTTCTCTTATTCTCCTGTATTACATAAATAAGCCTTATTTATAATTGTGAATCATAAATTATTCGTTAAACTTATAAATGTTTCTGTTGGAGGTTGCTTGTGGTCTGTTTCCTTTTAACTTTGAGTTTCCTTAGATATCTGAGCTTCTCTGAGGTTTTTTGGTGGACTAGCCAATGGAACATTACTTTATGGCAGAGACTTCCTCTTTTGTATAGTAACGGTGAAAAACATTAAATGCTTCTAACAAAAGTGGTTGAAGCTTATGCATTTGGATATAATAGAAGGAACACTCAATAATCAAAATAAATATTTGTAGCTAGAAGAACTTTAAGCAGACTAACATGTTTAGATATCATTTGGTAAGGATATAGAGTGAACTCAAATGATTATAGATGAAGAAAAGGATTAAAAGTTGAGTCCTAATGACTTTTGAAAGAGATATGAAAAACAGAGTACAAATCTTCATAGTAGCATCGATGTTACTATGTTCTAGCACTAGTGTTATAAACATGAATAGACATAGAAGGAAAGTTTTAGCATAGGTGTTATCCTTGTAGTACTGGTGTAATCTAATACATAAAAGATGAGGATTCTTAATATTTTTAGAAGAATTAGAATATTTCTTAAAAGATTATTTAGCACCGGTGTTAAAAGAAAGTAACACTGAAGTAACATATTGAGCAAGTCTCTTCGAAGAACAAAAAAAAAGCACAGTATCGGTGGTAAGATGTTAGCACAGGTGTTTCACCAATATGAATGAAACTTAGTAGTGGTGCTAACCATGTAACATAGGTGTTAACATAACTCAACTAAGGATAAAAGAAAAAAAAAAGACCGATGTTGAGAAGATAGTACTAATGCAAAGGAAAAGATTCAAACAAGAGAGACTTAAATGCATAAGTACAAAAGAGTAACACCAGTGCTAGTATGTGTAGGATCAGTGTTTAGATGTACCAAGAATCAATAGAACAGTGAAGACAATAGAGGCAACACTAGTGTTAAGGTATCCAGGACCGGTGTTATTAACACTTAGAAATATTTTTCAATAGGACAACTTCAAGCACAAGGAGTTATAGTTAAGTCAAATACTTAACTACAAGGATGGTATACCTTCTGTTCATATAAGCTCTCACTCAGCCAATTTTACTGTTAAGCCATTTATTTTAATTGAGAAAGCTTGAAGCTCACAAAACTTTTCTTTATTTTGTAATCATCAAACTAGGGTTCAACATTTCTCCCCATTTTTTATGATGACAAAACTCAGATGCAAAGAGTTAGTTCTCGGAGAGACTTTGGTCTCTACTTCTTAAAGGAAATAATCACAGATTTAAAAATAGAAGAAATGCACATTATATATATAATCAATAGAAGGTACAAATTATCAGAGAGAGCTCAAACATATAAAAAGATAAATATTCAAACCACTACTTGGTTCACTTTTTAAAAATAGTACTAAATAAATCCATTAACTCATGGAATTTCTTAGTAGTGGGAGATAAAGGTTTAGGTGTTTCAGACGGCTGAGAAGATTGAGATTCAGAGGGTTTGGATGAGGATTGAGGCTTAGAGGTCTCTAAAGACTTTGCCTTGAATTTGTTGAGTCTAGGCAAGGCACTTCATGGTCTTCTCACAACAGGTTGACCCTTAAGCTTGCTACTTCCCGAATCTTAAACCATACTCTTGTCTAATCCAATATCTTGAACCTTGCTGTCTACCTTATGAATTGACTTTGCATGACACTTCTCCCCTTTTTTGTCATC